TCTTCTCTCTTCTAAAACGAGGCCTCCCACCCACCTCTCTTCAGTGCAACAAATCTCCCCTGCTCCTCTGATGCTCCCTTACCTGTCTTTAGAAATTCAAACAACAAGAAGATTTGCAGCAGAAATTGCATGGTTTGGGTGATTCCACACACGCGTGTATTCGTCCAGAAACCTTTTCTGCCTTGTGGTAAACTCTCCAAAGGAAAGGAATCTTGAAGAGCAAAGGAAAAAAAAAAGGTGAAGGAGTTACTACAGGAACTCTTGAATAACCCGGTAATTTATCATGGACCTGAGGGAGAAATTCATTCTGTGTCTGCATTTGGAGCCAGAATTTGCACTGCTAAACAAGAAGAATGTTGAGCAAGTCATGCCTGATTTTAGGACCCTGTTTTGTCATGGGTGCTGAACAAATCGCGGCAATCATTAACTGAATCCATCTTCCCTTGTTGATTTTGTTTGCTGAAAGCCAGTTGGGAAGTTCACAATCACACGACCCCGGGATGCTGGAACTGTCATAAATACATGCCTGTTGCAATCACACGACCCTGGGATGCTGGAACCGTCATAAATACATGCCTGTTGCAAAGCGCCTGAATTGCGAGCACATGATTACGGGGATGCTGCAGTGGGGGTAAGTGCGAGGACTAGCCGTAAGTCACTTTTTTTCAGTGCCGTTATAACTTTAAATGGTCACTAAACAAATGGTTGGAAGCCAAGGGGTACCTCTATCTAACTTCTCGTTTTCAAAGCAAAACAGCTAGCTTTTATTCAAATGTGGGAGAGGCAGAGAAGATGTGAACAAAAGAGAGAAGCCCTGTCCTTCCTTCCTTCCTTCCTCCCCCCCCCTCCCTCCCTCTTTCTTTCTTTCTTTCTTTCTTTCTTTCTTTCTTTCTTTCTTTCTTTTTCTTTTTTTCTTCTTTCTTTTTTTCTTGGTGGCACAGTGGTTAGAATGCAGTATTGCAGGCTAATTCTGCCCACTGCCAGCAGTTCGATCCTGACTGGCTCAAGGTTGATTCAGTCTTCCATCCTTCCGAGGTCGGTAAAATGAGGACCCAGATTGCTGGGGACAAATAGGCTGACTCTGTAAGCCGCTTAGAGAGGGCTGTAAAGCACTGTGAAGCAGTATATAAGTCTAAGTGCTATTGCTTTCTTTCTTTCTTTCTTTCTTTCTTTCTTTCTTTCTTTCTTTCTTTCTTTCTTTCTTTCTTTCTCTTTCTTTCCTTCTTTCCTTTCTTTTCCCAGGGGGTGGTAAATGATAGAAATGGGATGAAGCTTCAATCAGATGATTCTGGCCATCTTCTTTACTTGACATACTCCCCTCCCCCCCCCATGAATGCCTCAATAAAGGCAAACTGCAAAAACAAGGGAAATGCTCTTAAAAATGTAATGCAAACTCTGCATTATCCGAAGGAGATTGGTTTGCAACATCAGGGTACAGTGGGCAAAAAAATAAAAATAAAAATTGGAGAACCAACTGCAGGTGCTCAGGGAAATGTGCCTTTGTACTGAGGCATTGTCTGAAAAACTTCAGCAGATCTGCAGAACTGGGGAACCACGAGAAACCATGTAACAGATTTGAAGCAGGATGGCCTTCAGCTCCAAACAACCAAATAAGTACTGAAATTGTCTTCCTCTTGAGGAGGAATGTGAAATGGAGCCAGTCCGATGATGGATATTTGCCAGGGCCAAGTGATGTTACACAGCTATGGCTTGAAATGGATATCTGTGCTTCTAAACAAAGTTAGGTACAATATACAGTATTTGCAGCGTTGACACTTCAATCTTCACACTATCCGTGAGTCCTACAATGCAAGCATTACTGTCCTTGTCTCTCACCTCAAAGCAAATATGTTTTGTATGAAGTTTGAGAAATGAAGTCTCTTGGTTATAATAATAATAATAAAGTTGGAAGGGACCTTGGAGGTCATCTAGTCCAACCCCCTGCTCAGGCAGGAAACCCTATACCATTTTGGACAAATGACTGTACAGTCTCTTCTTAAAAACCTCCAGTGTTGGAGCATTCACAGCTTCTGGAGGCAAGTTGTTCCACTGGTTAATTGTTCTAGCTGTCAGGGAGTTTCTCCTTAGTTCTAGGTTGCTTCTCTCCTTGATCAGTTTCCACCCGTTGCTTCTTGTCCTGCCTTCAGGCGCCTTGGAAAATAGCTTGACTCCCTCTTCTTTGGGGCAGCCCCTGAGATATTGGGACACTGCTATCATGTCCCCCGTCTTCCTTCTCTTCGTTAAACTAGACATACCCAATTCCAGCAGCCTTTCCTTATATGCTTTGGCCTCCAGTCCCCTGATCATCTTTGTTGCTCTTCTCTGTACTCTTTCTAGAATCTCAACATCTTTTTTACATTATGCCTCTCTAAGGTTTGGTATGTGTGTGTGCTTTCAAGTCAGGTTGCCTCCTGACAACTCCTTGCATCAGTCCCTGCAGTTTTCTTGGCCAGATTTCAGAGGTGGATGGCCATTGTATCCTGGCTAGGGCTGAGCGAAAGTAATCGGCTTTGTGTCTAAAGCAGGACTGGAACTCAGAATCTCCTGATTCCTAGCCTCCTTAACAACTACACCAAACTGACAAACATTATATTCTGGCCTGCTAAGTCCCCTTGTGCTTAAATGACCTGATATAACTTGGAACAATGTCTTTTTCCTATTAGAGTAGCCACCTGCGTTAACTGAGAGAGCTTTACAATTCTTGTCTGTTATGGTAAACATTAGATCAGACATGTCAAACTCGTGACGTCACATGATGTCGCGCAACATATCGGAGCTTTTTCCCCATTGCCGGCATGGTTTCATTGTGATGCAACTGGCCCACAGGCCGGCAGTTTGCCCCCCTCCCCTGCACTAGATCCTTAAAAAAACCTTTTTTATCCCGCCTTTCATTTTTTTTATCAATAAGTCAAGGCCTGAACATACCTAATATTCCTTCCTCCTCCTGTTTTTCCCACAACAATCCTGTGAGGTAAATTGGGGAGAGAGGGAGAGAAGGGGGGGAGAGGGGGGGCTGGCCCAAAGATACCCAAACATCTTTAACACCTAAGGTGGATGAAATTCACGCCAGGAGTTTAGACTGTGTTGAATTGAATGGACGCTTTCTCAGGTCCCTATTGGAAACCAGGGTCTAGATCCAAGGTCTGGATGATTTTATACCTTACCAAAAGAGTTCTAGATTGAGAGAGAGACAGGAAAAATTCGTGTAATTGTTCGCTTTTGCCAGCAGTGAAATGAACCTAAATTAATTGCATTGGTTTAGGCTCCCACTTCCATTAACTGCCATCCCAGATGCTAAGATTCTGTTTTTTCTTAAAGCGAAATGACCTCCATCCAATCCTCCACAAGGATTGGGTTCCTTGTGCTGGAACCCGGAGGAAGCTATTAGAGGGAAGAGATTTTACTCAATCTGAGCTCTCTTTTGCAAGACAGACCTCCTCTTTCTTGCAAAAAGTCCTCCTCCTGTGTGGGCCTTGTGTTGCGTTTGAACATATGGCTCTCTCTGTCTTCAGTCTTACACTCCTCTTTCTCATATGTTTTTAAAACCCCATTCTGTTGGGGCAGCAGTCTTCAAACTTGGCCCTTTTATGACTTATGGACTTCAGCTCCCAGAATTCCTCAGCCAGCAATGCTGGCTGAGGAATTCTGAGAGTTGAAGTCCATAAGTCATAAAAGGGCCAAGTTTGAAGGGACCTGTGTTGGGGGAACAATGTATGAACACCTAGCTTAGGCGTTTCTAACTGCCATCACAGGTGGTCCTTGAACCACAATTGAGTCCAAAATATCTGTCGCTAAACAAGACAGTTGTTAACTGAATTTTGCTCCGTTTTATGACCTTTCTTGCTACAGTTGTTAAGTGGATCACTGAAGTTGTTAAGTTAGTAGCACGGCTGTTAAGTGAATCTGCTTTCCCCATTGACTTTTCTTGTCAGGAGGTCCCAAAAGGGGATCCCATGACGCCGGGACCCCCAAACTGCCATAAATATGAACCAGGTGCCAAGCATATGAATTTTGATCCACGTGACCATGAGGACGCTGCAGCGGTCACACCTGTGAAAAACAATCCTAAGTCCCTTTTTTTCAGTGCTGTGGTAACTTCAAACAGTCACTAAATGAACTGCCGTAAGTCAAGGACCACCTGTACTGTGAGGAATGGGCAGGAACTGAAAACTAAGTCGGCCATATTGTTCTGGCAATTGAGGTGAGCGGGTAACATCGTCAATATAGGGGGAACAAGGTAAAAAAAAAAGAGAAAAAGAGTTAAAATCCCCTGGTCACCAAAAATACATCGTTACCCATTTAACTGACCCAAACATTACCTTTTATTCAAACATAACAATGGACAAAATAAGCAGCCTATCTGTATTTGATTTTTGTATACATTTAACTTCTCAAAGCTTTGTCTGGGCTGGAAGCCAGAAGTTTGCAACTTTAACTGATGGGAAAGAGCTGAAACCAAAGTCCAGGGAGAAAAAATTCAAAAGATTTTCTTCCTTTTAGCATAAGATGCAGCTTGGAATTCAGCAGCGGGCGCCTTCTGATGCTTCTCATCCAAAGGCCCTGAACGAAAGACTTACGTAGCTGACTGGAGATAAGAGGTGAAACTGTCTCAGTAGGACACCTAGATGGATTACTGTGATACTTGCGACAAATGGGCCTTCAGCCTTGAAATGAAGCTTGAATTTCTACCACGAGCCTCCACTGTACTGAGAGGCCAGGTAGACTGCAGAACAGAGACACACAATCTAAACCAGGGGTAGTCAACCTTGGCTCTTTTATGACTCGTGGACTTCAACTCCTAGAATTCCTGAGCCAGCAGGGCTCAGCATGGAAACCTCCCCCTTTCCCCTCAGCATGGCTGGCTCAGGAATTCTAGGAGTTGAAGTCCACGAGTCATAAAAGAGCCAAGGTTGACTACCCCTGATACTAAACATTTGGCAGGCTGGGGAGACAATCAAACAAAGGGGAGGGAGGGCGTGAATGAAATATTTTCCACGCCATTTGAAAGCTGCACGGATGTGAGTATTGTGTCAACATTTATTGAAGCCTTAACATCCAACTTCCGTAAATCGATGCCAGATCTTGTTTCAATCTCACGTTTCTTTGACTTGCTCAAAATAAAAAGAAAATCAAAATATCTCCAAATGGCCAAAACTGGGGAAATGGGAGCGCCAAACTAAA